AGATAGATTCCTTGATTTTTCCTTTGTTTATGTTGGGTTCTTTGTTTAAAATGACTGTTTTTAATAGATATACTATGGTTTTTTGAGTTGCAATGGTGAAAAACATGGGACGTTTTTTTTTATTGTGTTCTGTCAGTCTGGTTTCCAATCTTCTTCCTGTTTCTCCGATGTAGAATTCTGGGCAGTTATTGCATGTTATTTACATGCAGAGAAATTTATTTAGTGAAATATATTTAAAAAAATTAGATTGTTGAATTTGTGGAAAAATTTTTAAAAGCAGAATAGAATTGACATTCTCCTAACAAATCACACTTATTCAGAATTCACATAGTTCTTGGAAGTAATATTTTACACCTCAGAGTCCTGGAAACTCATGAAAAATGTCAGTTTTTTTTTAAGTTATTCCTGAATTTCTGGAATTTTTAAATTTAACTAAAAACTCGATTGAAAAATACCTTAACAATGTATCCTTCATATTAACATTTGTTTATTGACTTATAGTTGAAAGGGTTAATAAACATCGCCATTTTCCACACTCGTATCCTTTCTTCTGTAATACAAATGATTCTCTCCTTGATGTAGCATTGTTGTGTACACTGATATTATTAATGCACTGAGATTTATCAAACTTATCAATAGAAAAATGTTTTAAACATAGAGTTCAAGTTGATGGATTCATAAGATGCCTGGTAGGAAGTCTGTTTTAAAGCTTGAACAGACAGAACAAGCACTAAGAAAGTATTTGATTTCTTCTAACATCGGTGAATTAGTGCTAATTAGCCATGTGAAAGGAGAAAAATATGAAGATCTGAATGTGTCCCAGAATATGAGTGTAAATGATTTTTTACACTTAACTCTGTCAACACAGGCTCAGTTAATTTGACTGATCATGTGACCTCTTTGTACTCGTTTAAAGTCTTTATAGTTTTGATACTACTAACTTTTAATATGGTATGTATGTCTTCACAACATTTGGCAGACTTTCAATAAACATTATAAGTATTTCACATACAAAGAAAATCATATTTTTAGTGTAGTATTTTAATAAACTAAAAAAAGATTTGTCTGTGAATATATGAAGTTTTTTTTTTACTAGTCCGCATGCAAAGTGATTTTCATGTTAAGATTAAAAAATAATTTTCTTCATCTCAAAAATCTCAAATTTCATTTGCGTAATCTCTAAAACCTCCTAGATACATTTCAAATGTTTGTTTTCAGTAAAACTTTATATTTTATTTGTTATTTTCTCTACCCTAACTCTATACAAGGTTGGTAAATTTGACCCACCTTGTAACCCCCAAAAAATATCAAAATGAAAAAATTACCCTTTCTTTCTTTTTAGACTTTCTTTAAACTTGCAGTAGTATACATCTATTTATACTTAAATTTTATTGTTTTATTGCCCATTGAACCACATCTAACTATTTTATTATATTATATTATTTTATTATATTATATTATTACTATTCATTTTACTTAATCTAACCTTAACTAACCTAAAGAAATCCCTATTTTTTACCTTTTAGTTACTTTTATAATAATAACTAAAGAATAAGCATGAAAAACAAGAAATAAAGTACTTACCCATGCCTTTTTTTTCTGTCAGCTGTAGATGACACTTAACCCTACGTTTTTATACTAATGGTAGTAATGCACTAAATAATTGTTATTTACTTAAATATTGCACCAAAAAACATAGAATAATAACATGCAAAATATAGACAATTTTCCCTGACTATAACAATTCTTTTTGGCTTTCTATCTATGCGACCAAAAACAAATTTGTCCAAGCTAGTTGTTGTCTTTCTGATGGGAATGAAGCTACTAACAGTAAAAATGACAATTCTCTGTTCAAAAAACAATGTAATATAATACATCATTTGATAGATGAAAACCTTGGCTTTCTATTGGTTATACATAATATAGTATTAAGGTTAAGAGGGAACTATTAAATCCTGAAAGAGAGGATGTGACAGGTGGTTGCGGCAAGAGGGGTCTGATTTTCTATTTGATTGCTCAGTAACCAAACAAGATTGAAGGCTATAAAAATTATGGTTTGTCTGAGCAATTATGATCTTATAGTGATTAATTTATGTTAAATTTCGTACTTATTGGAGGGGTGGTGAATAAAATAGAGAAGAGGGGATTTTTAGAGAAAATGTGTCACATTTCTCACACTAGGGGAAATTTCAGGATTTTTAAAAAATATTGCCTTATAAAATTAAGAACTTAAAACGTATATACTATTAGAATATGGATTATTAGGTATTATTTTATGCTATACTAATTGGTATAACATGAACAAAAAATAGCTTAATTAAAATTTGAATATAAGTCCCTAAACATCATGATGTGCAGTAAAGGATGGCAGGAATGAGAGGGTAAAAGGTGACAAAAGTCATTAAGCTATAACTAACCTTGACAAGGCTGTTTTATGGTTATCTTCCTACAACTTCAAATATTTTACAAACATCTGCCAGAGATATTTTGTGTGCGTCTTTTATAAGTGGAAAGGAGACTGAAAGCTGAAGCTCTCTGGGCACTTGAGGTTATAAAGTTTAATAATTCCTATAAATCATGTACTCAAATATCAGACATATTTTGGAATTTGTTTTGGTCATGCTATAGCACAGCAGCTTTCAAGTAAAAGATTCCTGATTGTGTGGGATATAAGAGGACATACATGATCACACATTTAGTTTGTCTCTTCAAGACATGCATGGTTGCACATTTAACTTGTTTCATCACACATTTATTTTGTTTCATCAGGACATACTTGATCACACATTTAACTTATCTCATTGGGATACACATGATCACAAATTTATTTTGTTTCATCAGGATACACATGATCACACATTTATCTTGTTTGATCGGGATACACATGATCACACATTTATCTTGTTTGATCGGGATACACATGATCACACATTTATCTTGTTTCATCGGGATACACATGATCACACATTTATCTTGTTTCATTGGGATACACATGATCACACATTTATCTTGTTTCATCGGGATACACATGATCACACATTTAGCTTGTTTCATCGGGATACACATGATCACACATTTAGCTTGTTTCATCGGGATACACATGATAACACATTTAGCTTGTTTCATCGGGATATACATGATAACACATTTAGCTTGTTTCATCGGGATATACATGATAACACATTTAGCTTGTTTCATCTGGACATACGTGATCACACATTTAGTTTGTCTCTTCAAGACATGCAAGACATTTATCTTGTTTCATCGGGACATGCATGATCACACATTTATCTTATCAAAATGTACACGATCATACATCTTGTTTCATCATGACGTATGTAATCGCACATTCAGCTCATCACAATCTTGTTAACACTTAACACTTAACTTGTTTCATCAGGACATACATGATCGCACATCTATCTTATTTCATCAGGATATACACATTTAGCTTATCTCATTGGGATACACATGACCACACATTTATCTTATCTCATCGGGATACACATGATCACACATTTAGCTTATCTCATCGGGATACACATGATCACACATTTAGCTTATCTCATCAGGACACATGATCACACATTTAGCTTATCTTATCAGGATACATGATCACACATTTACCTTATCAGGACAAAGATGACCAGACATTTGTCTTGTTTTATCAGGATATACATTATCACACATTTAGCTTATCTCATTGGGACATACATGATCACACATTTAGCTTATCTTATCAGGACATACATGATCACACATTTACCTTATCAGGACAGAGATGACCAAACATTTGTCTTGTTTTATCAGGACATACATGATCACATATTTATCGTATCTCATCGGGATACACATGATCACACAGTTATCTTGATTCATTAGTATATACATGATCACACATTTAGTTTGTCTCTTCAAGACATGCATGGTTGCACATTTAACTTGTTTCATCGGGACATACATGATCACACATTTATCTTATCAGGATGTACATGATCATACATCTTGTTTCATCATAATGTACATCATCACACATTCAGCTCATCACAATCCCACTTAACTTGTTTCATCAGGACATACATAATCACACATTCAGTTCATCACAATCCCATAAATCATGGTTTTTCATCTTGAAGATTTATGTTTACTAAATTAAGATGATTTAAAACATTTATGTCCAAGAATCATCTTGTATGTTAATTTCTGGTCTAAATTTCACACTTCTGATTTATATATATGTTATAATCTCTGCAACACTGATAGTTGGCCATTCATGAATAGTAAAGAGTTGATTTTTCCTTTGAACAGACAAAGTAGAATTCGAGCAGTTTCAGAAGCTTTGCCTCTAGGACGAGAAGACTTGTGGACGACTCATCAGATGGCTATGGAAGAAAGCTTTACTATTCACCTAGGTACATGGAACCTTACCTATTTATTGGTTCTGTAGTTGAAGTGGTTTATCTAGAAAATTCACACCTGTTTGTTTTACTTAACTCTTTCCAGCTCAGTCGCATCATTTTGGCCAATTCTACCTTGCATTTGTAATAATTAACTCAGAAATGAAACTATATATGAAACTCATTTTTAAACATCAGTCATGGTTAAGTAGTTAGCACACAGGGATCACCAACAAAAGTTGTAATCTTTTCAAAACAACACCCAAAACTCGAGCGATTTCGAATAGTTGACTATTCTTTATTCCCCTGAAGAAGAATAGTCAACTATTTGAAAGCATTCGAGTTTGGGTCTCGTTTTGAAAACATAAATCATGACAGCCGTTGAATATTTTTGAATTTCATTTAAAGTGAAATAAAAACCACTTTTTTGTGACTGCATACTCTACTATTCCACCAACACACCATGTTTTATACTTGCTTTCTTGCAAGAAACAATCGCACACTGTGCACTAGTGAAAGAAATTTTGCAATAAAGGTTGTGTATATCAGTAAAATTAATATAGATAAATACTACTTATGTGACTGTACCTTTTTCTTTTTTGTAAAAGTTGTGTTCTTTTTAGAAATTATGTTCAGCTGTTTCAAGCACTAGTTTTTGTAACACAAAAAATTAACTGTCAATGTGATTACTTTTATAAAATAAGCAAACAAGTTGAGAAACCAATAACATTAATATAATATTTTAATGTAATGTATAAAAAAAAAATTAACCTCTTAAATAATTGGAAAATATGCAAGGTTTCGGATGTAATAACTAAAAGTTTAAAAGTTTACATTTCACATAAGGAAGAGAAGGAACAAGATGATAAGTGTTGTGAGTAAGAAAATAATTCCAGTTTTCAGGTGACATATTTATGATTTTATTATATTTAGAAATTATAAATTTGTCAAACAAAAATAAGCAACCAACATACAATGACCACAAATTTGCAGCTTTGTTTTCTATATTAAAAAGCTTTATCTAGGCAGGTAGGAAGACCAAATATTTGTATTCTCAAAAAAAAATCTAAATCAGGGTTAACAATTTGGATTTTTTTTTATTACTTTATCTATAAAATGAAAGTTGAAAAAATGTACAAAACAAACTTGAACATTTCAATAATAATTGTATATTGTAGAGGATTAGAGAGGAAAGATCAGACAGAATTATTAATGTTTTTTTTTGTCCTCATTTATATAAAAAAGTGAGATACCTGACTTAGCAGAGTTAAAAGTTATTTATGACTTTTATATAGAGTATCAAAAACAACACCTGGTCAAGTAGGTAAATCACAAGTAACCTGAGTGGTTCCTTTAATTGTTAGTTATTGACACATTTGAATATTTTTTTATGATCCCACTGCAAAGTATTGCAGAGTGAGGGGGGCATATTGGCTTTCCCCTGTCTGTCTGTTCCAATCTTATGGACAAGATATCTCAAGAGTGGATGGGTGGATGGATTTTGACCTAACTTATACAGTACTTATATTGTAGACCCATATAGCTTTTTAAGGTTGTGGGTCAAAGGTCAGGATCAAAAGTTCACTGGTACATAAAAAAATCTGCCTCAGTCTTGTGAACAGATACTAAATTTGCACTTGTTTGACGTGATATGTTTACTTAAAATATGGTAATTCTTGAAAGTTTGTTAACACACTTGCTACAGGCTCGGCCAAGTTCGTGACCCCAAATTGACCTTTATAGTTTCCATGCTATAACTTCCAATATGTTTGGTGTATCTTCATGAAATTTTGCAAGCTATCAGTAAGCATTAAGTCTTTTTATTGACAAAATTTAGAAATTCTAATGACTTATTTTCGCTAAATATTTCTCCTTGACTGCTCTGAATGCAAAGTGATTTTCATGTTAAGATTAGAAATACTTTTCTTCATCTGAAAATCCTCAAATTTCATTTGTAAAACCTCTTAAATGTATTTCAACCATTTTTTTTCAGTAAAGCTTTATATTTTATCTATTATTTTCTTTACCCTAACTCTGTATGAGATTGGTCAATTCGACTGACCTCATCACCACCATAAAAAAAACAACATAATTACAGTGATTTGCCAAAGTAGGAATAAATTGTTTTAAATTTAAAGAAACTCCATTTTTGTAATTTTGACTTCCTTGTTTCAATACGTTTTGTAGCATTAAAACTTTCTCTATTACTATAGCTAGCTAGGTTACATATATATCGATCCCTACTTGTCTTTATAATATATAATTTGTTTTTATTGTACTTGTAATAATAAATAAAGAATACACACAAAAAACATGAAATAGAGTACTTACCTGGGCTTTTTTTTTTGCTGTCAACTGTTAATGAAACTCAATCCTACTTTTTTATAGTAATGGTAGTACTGTACTAAATAATTTTTTTATTTATTTGAATAATACACCTAAGAACACAGTATAATAACACGTAAAATGCAGACAATGTCTTAAACTATCACAATTTTTCTGGCTTTCTAACTATGCGACAAGAACCATTAAAAATTCAGCTAAGCTCATCAATGTGTTTCCTGTGGAAATAAAGTTTGAAATGGAAGTGGAATAAAAATTTCTCTGTACAGAAAACAATGTAATTTAGTACGTCATTTTACAGACTAAAACTTTGGGTTTCTATAGTTTATAAATAATATAGTATTAAACATCGGAGAGAACTATCAGCAATTTGTGAAAGAGAGGATGAGACGGGTGGGCGTGGGAAAAAAGGTCTGATTTTCTATTTTATGGCTCTATAACAAGTAGATTAAAGGCTAGGAGAATTTTGCTTTGCCTGAGCAATGACAACATTATAATAAGTAAGTTATATTAAATATCATACTTCTTGGAGGGGTGGTAAATAAATTAGAGAAGAGGGTATGCCTAGAGAGCAAATGTCACAATTTTCATACTAGGAGAAATTTAGAATTTTTTTTAATATTGCTTTATGAAACTAAAAATTGAAAACTTTTAAAATATTCAAATTTGGATTATTAGCTACATTTTGGTGGCAAGTTTATTCGTATAATATGATGATAAAGTTCTTTAATTAAATTTTGAATGTAACTCAGAAAAACTTTGTGACGTGCATAGAAAAGGATGCCCATATGGAAAGAGTTAAGGACAGTCTGTATTTATACTTCCCAGGAAGCTTCAGTACCTTAAAAGTTGTGTCAAGGTTTTAACAATGAAAATGCCAAATCCTTTTGTTCTTAAATGGTTTTTATTCTACCATTAGAAACTGCATGATACATTTCCACGAACATTTATAGCGGGTATATATAATAAAAGTTTAAAAGTTACCAGACAGTTGCGGATAATGGAATTATTTTAGGGTTGTGTTTGCTGCATACAGATATTTTATTTTAACGCAGAATATATCTATATCTCCTTTTATCTTGTATTGTTTTTTATATACGTAGGTTCATAGTTGTAGACTAATCTTTGTGGTTATTGTTTTATTTTTCATCTTAAGTTTATTAGAGAACTGTAATATTGTTTTTAATAACAATAAAGTTACCAAGGTATTACTCATCTCCTCACACACAAAGCTTTCTTCCCCTTCTGTCTGCCTCAGAGAATTGCATATCACTAGCCTTTAGGCAACTTCCACCTAAACTTGAGATTTCTCGTAATTTGAAAAAGCCCTCCATCAATAGGACAGCAACACAACCTCCTTGCACACTAGCTCCCTCTATGCTTTTTCACTCATGATCTTCATTCTATTCCTTGGCACTGAACACATCAGGCATGTTTTTTTCTTTGTCAGTTTAATGAGACTGGCAATGTTGAGGGAACTTATTTCCTTCTTATTTCTTTAAATTTTGAATTCTAGTTCATGTTCCATTTTCTACTACTTGTGTGTGACTAATTTCTGCACACAGGTTGTGTGATAGTGATGGCTCATGGAGGCATGTTCTCTGGGGATGACATGGCAGCTGTTGTGGATTGGACAATGGTTTTTTTTATGTTGCCAGGTGCTTCAGCTCCATTCCTTGATGAGGTGTTCCCCTGGTTTGTGGGGTGAATGAGGAGGACAAATTTGATCGTTCCATCACCTGTTTAGGCTTTTGAAGATAACCTTAAACTTTCTCGAATTCTTTCACCTTGATTTATCAGGTATGCACCATTGTATTCTTCTGCTTGTTCCCTATTTCTTAATCCTAACCCTAAGTCATATGTTTTACCATTCTTGGACTACTTCCATTTCTGAGACATTAAACCTGTCCTATCCCATCTATCTCATTCTTATTTCCTCGATTTTAGTCATTTTGTATTCCCTTTAGAGATTGTCATGTTTGGTATTGACCTTGTCATTTTTTTGGGGAGAGGCTTTTGGTATTGGTTTCACCCTCCATTATCCAATACACCTGTCTTTCTCTGATCCTTTTTATCTTACCTCTTTGTCTCTCCTCTCTACACCTCAAGTCTGCACCTCAGAGCATTTTATCGATGATTCTTGTTCTCTTCATTTCTCCACCGTGACCCTCCCCTTTTACTTTTTCTGCTCACTTACCTCCTTGTCAGTGGAGATTGTTGTGTGGGGATACTCTTCTATCCTACGTTCAACTTCATTCTTCCATTTTTTTAATCTTTTGCCTAGCCATATCCTTTGCCCTGAAGTTTGGAGGTATTCGTGATTTGATTGACTTACAGGCTGAGGCTGCCCATTGTTAATCCTCACTTTCGTAAGTTGTTTCCACATTGTCCACAACTCTACTCTACACCATTGTACCTCTTCTTCATCTCTAATTCCCTGTCATTTTGATTCCCAAATTCCTCTTCTACTCGGCATCAGTTCTATTGAGTTCGTTTCTGTTGTGTTGGGTTCTATGAGTGCTGTCATGGTTTGAGCTCCTGTGGTCACACTTTTCTTTACACCCAGGGGTTTCTCTACTTTTTACCCACATATATTCTCCACACTTCCCTGATCTTCCTATTTTCAGCCCAACTCTTTTTCCTTTTCTCTTTCCATTCCCATCTTTGTCCAACATCTCTTCAAGGCTGAGTTTGTCCCCATTTCCACCAATTCCTTACTCCCTATCAATATTTTATTCACTGAGGGCGTGTTTTTCAACTTATTCTCAGCTGGGATCAGCCTTCTCTCTTCTGCCTGTGAGCATTAGACCTTGCTGTAATTAGGATTTGTGCATGTTATACTCATTCTAAATGAGAGATTTCATGTTTGGTGACCATGGCTTTCTAGGGACTGCTTATCCCTTTTGGTCACATACATTTTCACCTCCTCAGTTGATCCTTGCACAACCAGTTGGATGCCTTACGAGATTCTTTGATCTCAATGGTTCTCCTGTCCTTCCTCCATTCTAATATTTGTTTGGGTGGCTGGACCATTCTCCTGGCACCATTGGTGTTCCATTACCTCCACCTATGATCTTCCCTTGTTGAGAAGCATTCCTGAACGTCTATTTTACATCTGGTACATAGACCCAGGATGAGTCTTTTCTCAATATCCATGTGCTTGAACTTCCAGTGGATCATTTAGTGTTCCATTCCAATAACTCTTTAATTTTTCCTAAATTAACTACCATGGGATAATCCAATGTAGAATCCCTTGCTTGCAAACTCTAAACCTTCATTTTTGCACCAATTTTCAACAGGTTGGTTACCTCACCTACCTTGTACCAGAGAACCTGGGCATTTTCTCTGGGTCTCCTCCACTGTAAACTCCTCCCACCTTTTTTTCTTCAAGTGGAGCAAAGGAGACTCTTACTACTTATAAGTTCCTAGCCTCTGGGGTGGTGGACCTTGAAGAACCCTCGCTGATTGGTACCTAAAAGCTGGGGGCTGAACAGATGGTGCCAATTGGTGGGAAGTGGGGTGGTGGTGACACTTTCAGTGTAATGCGTCACCCCTCTTATAATTATACTCATAACATGCCAGCATCCTTTATAATCCTACCACTGCCTGGAGTTGGTTTACCGGGTGGTCTGGTCTTGAAACAGTGTAAGATCGGCCAACATAAGTATTCATACATGTGGACTAGAGAAATATTCCTGATGCCACCTGGTTTTTGACTGGAGTTAACCCACCACAGTTGCATTCCCTTTTTCTATTATTGCCTGAATATTGGGGTCCTGGGTGGCCTGATGTTAGTTGGGAACTGGGTCTGCACACATGCCCTGCTTGAGTTGTTGGAATGGAAATGCTTTTCCCTTTTACTTCCTGGTCATGAAATGAAGACCCTCCTCCTACCATGGACTGTAAGACAAATACCCCATGACACCTGGTTTTGGACTGTAGTTGACCCACTGAATATTTGCAATCATCTCCTGTTCAGTTGAGTTAAGGTAGACATTTTCTAATAAATTGTGCCCTCCTCCTGCAGCTGGTGACTGTTCTGTTGAATCTATATACTCACTCACATTATACAATCTATGCCATGTACTCTGTGTGCTCCTCCCACAGCTGGTGTCAGTTCAAGAGCCTGATGGCACACTTGGAAATAACACACACTAATAATTCCTGTGCCCTCCTCCTTCACCCGGTGTTAGTCCAAGAACTCTGATGGTAGAGAAGATGAGCACTCGGTATGGTCTGAATGAGCCCCAATCACACTGCACATATGGGCTGTGCAAACACTTATTCCACTCATACCCACAACACATGGGGCTTGTTTGCCTTTTTCTACCTGAAAGAAATGAGATTTGGTCTCCCATATAAAGCCCCTGCCATTGGGCATTACACTCCATGGGTTTCCTTTGGGTGATTTCTGAAGGCAGGTCATTTAGGTAACTTTTGCAATGGTTCCTCCACCCTCCCAACATGGGATCTAGCTATCTGTGTGAAGAGATGTGTATTGTGTTGGAAGTTAACATTTTCCTTACCTGAAAATGTATTTCCAATAGATAATCACCTCCTTTCACACTTCCCACCCTACTTCCCCACTTCCGGTGCAAATTATATTCCTTGTCTCATTATAGGATGAAGATCGTGAATGCAAAAGCATAGAGGGAGCTAATGTGCGGGGAGATTGTGTTGCTTTCCCATTAAGGGAGGGCTTTTGCTGCATAATAACATCATTATGCAGTAACACAAGTGACGAGAAATCTTGTGAGTTTAGGTGTGAGTTGCCTAAAGGCTAGTGGCATGCAAATCTTGAAGGCATATGCACGAGGAAGATGCTTTGTGTGTGTTGAGGTGAGTATCTATTGGAAATACATTTTTAAGTAAGAAAAATGTTAACGTTCAGCAGAGGAATATAATGTTGTTAATAACAAGGAAGAGTTCAGATAGGTTTCAGTTTTAATCTTACCTCTAAGTTCAGAGTTGAAGAGTAACTCTAAGTTAAGTTTTTGTTTTGTTTTTCATCTACCATCTATGCTCACAGTTGAATACTAACCTATGCTAAGTTTCTATTTTGTTTTTAGGTTCTCAGCTGAAGACTAACCCTATGCTAAGTTTCTGTTTTGTTTTTTAGGTTCACAACTGAAGACTAACCCTATGCTAAGTTTCTGTTTTGTTTTTTAGGTTCACAACTGAAGACTAACCCAATGCTAAGTTT